TACAGATTCTTCGTCTGACTCCGCTTACCTCGGAGCAGGCCCCGCCCACAATGTTTGTGCCCCACAATCCTCACTGGCGACCCTCTGCTGACCTTAGCACGGCACTTTTTCCGGTCTATCGGAGTGCTCTGGACCGTGTTAGCAGAATCGCGCTTTTTGTCTGGCTCCGCCCACCTCGGAGCAGGCTCCGCCCACAATATGTCTACCCCACATTTCTCAATCGGCGACCCCTTGCTGACCTGAATTCACTTTTTCCGGTCTTTGAAGTGCTCTGGGACAGTTTTAGAGAATTTTCGTCTGGCTCCGCCCACCTCGGGCTGGCCCCGCCCACAATATGTATACCCCACATTTCTCAATCGGCGACCCCTTGCTGACCTGAATTCACTTTATTCCGGTCTTCGGAGTGCTCTGGAACCGTTTTACAGACCTTTTTGTCTGGCTCCGCCCACCTCGGAGCAGGCTCCGCCCACAATTTTTTTGCCCCACAATCTTCACCGACGACCCTCTGCTGAACTTAATCCACTTTTTTCCGGTATCTGGAGTGTTCTGGAACCGAGCTACAAACTTTTAAAATGAATACCCTGCGATTTAGGGCAAGCTCCGCCCACTGTGGGCGGGTCTCAACACACTTTGAGCGTGCCCTATATTCGCCAGATATTTACATTCTACACTGAGTTTTTGCGACTTCCAAACACTCTCGCGAACCGGGTTACTGAATTTTGCGAGAAGCACCGCCCACCTTGAGTACGCCCCGCCCATTTAGGGTGTACCTGCCACAGTTAGTCTGGCGACTCCTTACTAACCTTAGTCCCTTTTTTCCCCATCTTTAAGCTGCTCCGGAAGCGAATTATGAACATTTTTCTGCGGAACCCCAAACTTTCGGCGAGTGCCCCGCCCACTGTGGGCGGGGCTTCCCATAGGTCAAGTGTGCTTTTTATTTCTTGTCCCATGCCCTACCTATCCCCACCTTGACTGGACCTCTCCAAGTAGAACTAATTGGAGAGGTCTACGGAAAATGCGGGAAACAATAGAGAGTCAGTTGATGGACGAACTGAACCAGGCACACCCTAATTGGGCGGGGCGTGCTATAGATGGGCGGGGCTTGCTACAAAAATTTCAAAAATTCGTAATTCAGTTCCAAATAAGCCTGAAGAGCGGAAAATGTGAGGAACGATAAGGAATCAGTTGGAGGATGAACTGAACCAGGCACACCCTAATTGGGCGGGCGTGCTATAGATGGGCGGGGCTTGCTACAAAAATTTCAAAAATTCGTAATTCAGTTCCAAATGAGCCCGGAGAGCGAAAAATGTGAGAAATGATAGAAAATCGGATGGCGAATGAGCTGAACGAGGCACACCTTGATTGGGCGGGGGTGCTATAGATGGGCGGGGCTTGCTACAAAAATTTCAAAAATTCGTAATTCAGTTCCAAATGAGCCCGGAGAGCGAAAAATGTGCGAAATGATAGAAAATCGGATGGCGAATGAGCTGAATCTTACGATCCGACTGGCCCTCCCTCACATGGAAACTTCTCACAGGGACCCACTTCTCGGTTCCCAAAAACAACTGTCGCAATAGAAAATTTTCATGACTGCCTTCTAGGGGGGGTATATACAAGAAGTGAAACAGTAAAGTGCGGTAATTCTCAAAACAACATTTTTTTGACCATTCGACCGGCGAAGCCGGCCGATCCGACTGGCCCTCCCTCACATGGAAAACTTCTCACAGGGACCCACTTCACACGCGGAAGGAGGATCGGCCGGCGAAGCCGGCCGATCCGACTGGTATATATATATATATATATATATATATATATATATATATATATATATATATATATATATATATATATATATATATATATATATATATATATATATATATATATATATATATATATATATATATATATATATATATATATATATATATATATATATATATATATATATATATCGCTTCGTCTGTTTGTTTGTTTGTTTGTAAGTTTGTTTGTCTGTCCGGAAATTCGGTTCGACCTGAAGAACGACTTGGAGAGGTCGGGTCAAGGTGGGGATGGGTAGGCATGGGACAAGAAATAAAAAGCACACTTGACCTATGGGAAGCCCCGCCCACAGTGGGCGGGGCACTCGCCGAAAGTTTGGGGTTCCGCACAGAAATGTTCATAATTCGCTTCCGGAGCAGCTCAAAGATGGGGAAAAAGTGGAATAAGGTTAGCAAGGAGTTGCCAGACTAACTGTGGCAGACACATCCAAAATGGGCGGGGCGTACTCAAGGTGGGCGGTGCTTCTCGCAAAACTTCAGTAACCCGGTTCGCGAGTGTTTGAAGTCGCAAAAAACTCAGTGTAGAATGTAAATATCTGGCGAGTATTGGGCACGCTCAAAGTGTGTTGAGACCCGCCCACAGTGGGCGGAGCTTGCCCTAAATCGCAGACTAATTTTGAAAGTTTGTAGCTCTGTTCCAGAACATTCCAGAAACCGGAAAAAGAGGATGCGGAGTCAGACAAAATTCTGTAAAACGGTTCCAGAGCACTACGAGGCCGGGAAAAAGTGAATTAAGTTTAGCCAAGGTCGTCGGTGAGAATGTGGGGGAAAAAAGTGAATTGAGGTTAGCCGCGAGTTGTCGGTCGAGAAGCATGGGGCACACATATCGCGGTCACACATAGCGGGGTCTCCTCTGACGTGGACGGAGCCGGCAAAAAGTCTGTAAAACGTTACCAGAGCACTGCAGAGTCTGGAAAAAAGTGGATTAAGGTTAGCCAAGGGTCGTCGTTTGAGAATAGTGGGGCATGCATATCGTGGGCGTGGTCTGCTCGGATGTGGGCGGAGCCGGCCAGTCCTGTGAAACGGTCCCAGAGATGTCGCATCGTTCCACACCCATCATCGTGGTAGCTATTTACAGCTGTCCTGCAGTCCTAGTGTAGGTGACGTGAATCTGAGTCTCACTCCATCGGCAGTCATACACTTAATCATCGATCGCTGCGGATACAGCTGGACGAGTCGGCTGGCCGCCTGACGCTGGCGCATCTCTTTCTGAGGATATAGGCGGCATGGTCAGGCGAGCGCAGTTTCGATGCGCGATCCTTCTTTTGTTTTGTCAGAGTACTTGATTAATGCCTGACTTTTCTCTCAACTGTGCACCTGCTCGACGCTCCTTACCACTATTATATAAATTTACTTAGAACATGCGTACAGATGAGAGAGGAACAAACTTCAGTCGAGCATTGCAGCACAACGAAAAAATACGCGCGGCGAAGCCGGGCCGTATCACAGAAGGCGAGCCGACTGATAAAAAAATATAAATAACTACGAACTCATATTAGAGCATGGGGTCATCGGGCAATGGAGGAAAGTCCAAAAAGAGGCAGCAGTAGCTAAAGCAGCTGAGGCTAAAAGAAAGTAGAGCACAGAAAAACGCATCCTCAAAGCCCACTCAGAGACACATGGTACGATCACACATAGTTTATGTGTGCGTGACTATTAGCTGTCGAAGCGTAGCGGTTTTCCCGTCCGAACATGCGCAGGAATGGAGATCCAGGACCGTGAGACACGCTAATTCCTCCATGCTCCGCCTAAAATGCAACTTGCGGCGCAGACTCCCGATCCCGTTTATACTAACAGCCGTCCGCGCGGCGCGTGTCGCGTGGACGGCTGTTAGTACAATACAAATAACACTTTGCACCTTGCCAAGTCGTGTAATTGCGCTTTGGAATACAATTAAACGCAGCCTCCTGATGCGGATAACATTTGAGGTGTTGCTCATGCTGCAAAGTCCGAATAGAAGGTGATGAAGATGACAAAGGCTAGAAATGAAGAACAACGAATGTAGATGTAAATAAAACAAAATTAAAAAAAACTAAGGAAATGCAAATTAATTAAAACCGTGTAAATTTTTGCAATTCGGCGCGATTCCGGCTCCAAAGCCATAGAAATACTTCAAACTAACGAGTGGGACGCTTAGGCCGTTTTTATTTTCATGTTTTGTGGGAATGCGCGGCCTCCGAGGGATATTGCAGAAGCAGCACAGTTGCTCTTGAGTTCTGGCCCTCGTCATCATCTTCGATTCGGATTTTGCAGCATGAGCAACACCTCAAATGTTATCCGCATCAGGAGTTTGCGTTTTGTATTCCAAAGCGCAATTACAGGACTTGGCAAAGTGCCAAGAGCGCTGCGCGCGACACGCGCCGCGCGGACGGCTGTTAGTATAAACGGGATCGGGAGTCTGCGCCGCAAGTTGCATTTTAGGCGGAGCATGGAGGAATTAGCGTGTCTTACGGTCCTGATCTCCATTCCTGCGCATGTTAGGACGGGGAAACCGCTACGCTTCGACAGCTGGGGGGGGGGAGGGCTGGTAGTCACGCACACCCAAACTATGTGTGATCGTACCATGTGTCTTCAATCTCTGTCAGCTAAAGGACCATAACCACCTGCCTCCAACGTTCGGAAGGAACAGACATTGGGCAGCGGAGCACAATGCATAAGAGCGACTACGCTCCCTCCCCCCCTTCCCTCCCCACCTCGTAGGGGACACTGCGCCAATGCCAACTTCTTTAATTCCCTGTAACGATAAGCGGAAGCTCGAGAGTGGTTCAAACAATTAAGTCTCTTTGAATCATCCTCTGTATTGATGCGATAACAACAGCTCCACATCGTCTGCTCTCGATACTCCGGTGACAAACTCAGTCATCCGTTATGGAAAAACGTAAAATTAAAGCTTAGTACTGAAATTCCGAGAGAGGAGGACAAAAAAGACAGAAGAAAATTCAAGACAGTTTCAAGAATAAAGAATCACAGCGTGAAAGCGAGACAAGTACCGCTGTCTACTGGCATTATTGAAGTAGTAAGTACGTATTTATGTAACTGTGTATTCGATGTTTCATATGGAACGAGTACCTATTCTTCGACAAAACTCCAACAAAAGGTGAGACGAATGGGGTGGGGAAGATGGTAGGAGAGGTACAATTCCTTTTAGCGCTGTACAAATCTCGGATATTGTAGATCTTAAAATCTTGGGAAGAAACGTAAAAAGCAATAGTCTAACTGCACCTCAGGTCTCGACTGTTGATGATGCAATACAGGTTCGCTAAGCTTGCGTAACGGAACAGCCGTGATATCAGCTGCAACACGAGCCTTTAGCACCGCACCCTGGTGGCCTCCTGAAAATGAGCACAAATGAGATCGAATTTATGAGATTCGTGGCTGCTTGGGTGTTTTGTGAGAAAGCGCAAAGCGAGTCAACGTGTCGTTTACCAGGCTATCTTAATAAACCTGCCATGTGAGACCAATGGTATGATTTTCTGCCAAGCACTGCCTTCATGGTTCGAGACAAACATGACACCAACAACGCAAAGTCAGAAGTGTAGCAACAGATAACACCTCGTTTATTTCAGCTGCCTCCAAACTACCTAATAAAGCTAGTGAAGTTTCATTTGGTCGAAGGCCTTAAGAGCAATCATAAGTAATTAGTAAATGAAGCTTAGATGGCCTTTCAGAATCTGCTAATAGCATTAAATCCGCAGTGTGTTCTAATGAAAAGTTGCATCAGTATAATAGCCGACCTTATGAAAAACCCCTCCATAGCTCCAAGAAAAGCAAGTTTTGCTCGCCGAAAGGCGGCTTCTAGATGCTGTGAGGTCTGAAGGTTCTGCGCAAGACAGAACTGTTCACGCGGCATTTCAACATTGAAACGCTCTGTCCAGCACGGCAAAAAAAAGTGTTTCAACATTAGGACAAGATGTTGTGCTGAAAAAGTGTTAAGGTTTGACGGCCCTGATCAGCTCTTCAGTCATTTGCATTCCTCGAGTACACCTAACGCTTTGATTGTCGCTGGGCCCCATCAAAAAAGCTGTACATCCCCTCCCCTACTAATTTTGCATGAAAATACCTATTCGCTCCTTTGCGACACTTCTGTCTCTTTCCTTACGCTCCTCACGATCTGACTGCCTTCGACCGTGGTGAGCCACATCGACAAGATGAGGTGCAGCAGGATGTGACCGCTGTGAAGACCTCTGAAAACAACAACTGCTTCAGAATTCAAGATTACCGTGATGGGTGGGGAAAGTACCTGATGATGACTAAATGGTCGCTGTCGTCTTTCAGCATCACTTTGAACGTCGCTTGCCTTCGGGCGAGTCACCGCAGCTTGTGCTCGCATTTTCACTTGATCCTCGCGATTCCGTCCATCCACACCAAATCTAGTGAGGCTTACTATATTTAACTCGTTGCGTACCGCGTGCTGCACCATGTGCAGCACGCTCGTTTGCCTCTGTATGGCCGCGTGCTGCACATGGTGAAGCACGCTTCGTTTGAACTTATTTAGCATTGTTAGATGATTGAAAAGAGTCGGTATATTCCTGAAGTCTCCTGGGACAAAATATGTGTGGGGGAAACTGCGGGATTGAATAAGAGCTAATATTATTGACATTTTCCAAGAAATAGATAGAAATAGAAATACCTCAACTACTTTATTCTTTGTGTAATTCTCACTTACCAATAGAACGTCACGTTTTCGACTCTTCTTAATTTTATCAAGCTTTTTGGGCTAGTTTCGCATTTTTCGGCTCATCACTTTTATCACGTAACAATACTTGAATCCCGTTTAGCATAATCTACATATAAAAGTGATGCATAATACGATGTGGGTTAATATTTTTATATTATATGTACAAACCAAAAATTTTAAGTACCATATATATATTTATACCAGGGCACATCGTTGGTTGGGGAATCCCCAACAGGGGGGTCGTATTTGGCCGCCAGGAGAGGGGGGGGGTCGTAGTGAGTGCGGCAGCCAGTAACGAGCAGCGCAAATTGTCAATGTGCTGAGTCCTGTACAGCGAAACTTGCTTTGTAGAGAACTCGGATATGCAAAAAAATAGTACAAAACTTTCATTCATCAAACTAATCCGAAATAACTGCAAATATTAATAAGTCGACATTATCTCGTAAGTCCGTAAAAACTACAACTCAAACTCTGGTTCGCTGCCAATGATATGGCGTGTCCGCGGTCGCGCTTGGCGCTGAGCCAACCTGTTTTTTTTCTCGACAAGCGACAGGACTACCATATCGTTCGTATAGACGTTTTCCAGCAGTTGGTCGGTTTACTCGAATATCGAATATTTATCTTCTTCTAGTTTACTCGAATACACGTCAGAGCGCGCCCCAGCAATTTTGCTTGGACCGCTCAGAGTGCTCTTAGGAGGAATTGGCTTGATTTCCTGTTTTTTTTCTTTTAATTGCAATTGATTAGGTACCAGAGTTTGTTTTGACTCGAGGGAAGGTTCTATGACCGTGCCTACCATAACTGGAGAAATGTTCGACCCAGGGCACATCATTGGTTGGGGACGTCAGCCGGTCTATACGACCCCCCCCCTTTTTTGGGCTGTCAAGCGGGGGGAGGGGTATTTATTACGCATGAAACAGGAAAATCACAAGTCAACCACCGCTCCTACAACGCCAAAACGTAAATACGACCCCCTCCCAACAATGACCAAGTACGACCCCCCCCCGTCGCAACGTCCATGAAGCGAGAAAATCAAGGGCACTATTCAACTATTACTACCCCAGTTTTGCGAAAACAGGCCGGATCTTGATCGACTTTTTCTACGGGGGTGGATTTGGCTGAAAGTTGGGTTCTAGGGGTAATTCGACCTCCTGAACACGAATATCACATCCACTTGGCCTGAAATTGCCTGGCGCCCGCGCCATAGGCGCCAGTGATTTGGGGCATTTTGGCGCCGGCGCCCGTAGCGCGGACGCGGAGCGGTTTCAAGCCGAGGGAATGTGATATTCGTGATTAGGAGGTCAAACTACCCCTAGGTACAAGTTTTCAGCGGATTTCGTGATCTAGGGTACTTTGGCGCCGGCGCCTGTGGCGCGGGCGCCAGGCGGTTTCGAGAGGAGCGGATGTGATATTCGTGTTCAGGAGGTCGAATTACCCCTAGAACCCAACTTTCAGCCAAATCCACCCCCGTAGAAAAAAGTCGATCAAAATCCGGCCCGTTTCCGGAAATCTGGGGTAGTAATAGTTGAATAGTGCCGAATCAACTATTAAAATGGATTCTTCCTAGCCCAAATACGACGCCCGCTCTCCTGGGGCGAAATACGACCCACCCTATTGGGGATTGTCCAACAACGATGTGCCCTCGACCCGACTCTGGTGCTATCAGACCTAGTGAAAGAGTTTGGATCTCTTGTTCGATCACAATCCCGCAAAGAGAGGAAGATTGCAGATAGCTTCTCTGCTATTTTGCGCGACGCACTGCACGACAATCTTATAATCGACTGCGAGGAAGATAGCTTCGTAGAGGACGACCATACGGATCCCCTCTGGTCACCTGATGATGGCGATGAAGAAAGTTCCCTCAGAGCTAGAAGAACAGCTTCAGTCACTTTTGGGGATGTGGAGGTTCCGATAGAGAAAGTGGTTTGATAGTCTCATTGTCTCACTTATGGACTTCACTTTGTACAACTCCATAGCATAGTATGTGTGTGGTTTAGGTGAGTGAAGCCATAGCCTTCTACCGTTCTAGTGCAAAGAAAAGCCGCTCATTTCCATGCATGAAGAGCAGGTTCCGCTTCATTGCTACCGAATACCACTTGCGGAAGTTGAGTTGAGATACTATCAAAATGAATGCTCTCACTGAAGTCAAAATGAAACCCCTCTCAAAAATCACACATAGGGCCTAATAAGAAGCAGGGAGGTGTCTTGGTGGTCTAACAGGTACGCAAAACTACTTCCCAAGTGTTAGCATACGTTTGAAGAAAAAGCAAAACTAGGAAATGCATCAAGGATCCGAACCTCCGTCCCACAACTATGAGTCCATCCACTTACCTGCTGCGCCATCGAGCCACGGCGACAGCTGTGTCACGAGGGGTTCACAAGCGCAAAGCATGGGCAGGGGGCGCACCGCAATGGTTAAGCACGGTAGCAAAAAAGGTCCGTAACTCCTCACCCAGAATCGTTTAGCAGATTTGGAAGTCAGATCTGATATCAGCGTCCGAAGACGCTTCTAGTGGTATACATCTCATTCTGAATGGCCATGACGAGTTGGTATCCTTCCCTTGTGAGATCTATTGCGATGTCGTTCTCTATGTTATTATTATCGTTGTTCAACCACAAGCAAATACTTTTGCAGACTCGAACTAAGGTTCGTATGGCCCTATCTAAGAGCGAAAAGTGTTATAGAGAAATGTCTGCTTTATTTTGACACTATTTGGAGTGTTTGTTGCAACATGTGAACCTGTTATATCCTCAAGCGTTTCTTGTTCTTAGAGAGCGACGGTTAGCTTAGTTTCGGATGCGGTCTTCGACGTCAAATGGTATTGCTTTTGTTCTTCACTTAACGGTTGCGGTCCGACTATCCAAGGGAGCTCGTGGACTCAATGAGTATCAACCTGCATTTTCCAGTATCCGCAGAAATCCTCTCCTCCATTCTCTTTCCTGTAGAAACATACCAGAACTTCATCGAGGAGCCCGTAATTACTATTGTTTTCTTCACTTTCAAGATGCGGCACTTCTGATTTCCCACAAATACATGTAGATGACGCGCGCCCGTGATCCAGAACAGAGCTATCTCGCTATCCCGCAGAACACTGACTTCCACAATTGGTCGTTTGTGGATGTAACAACAGATTTTCCAAAGGGTATCGCCATGATCGCGAACATTTCAAGTCGGTGTATTGTTTGTTTGGGCGCGAGACAAGTTTTTTCGCTTGCGGGCTGGGCACTTTCAACGTATGCTCTTCGCGAAAAAAGGCGGAAGCTGCTAATGCTTGCGCACTGGCGTCTGCGAATACCCAAGGGTGAAAGGGCCCATTCTATCATCAAATGTGTATCGAGAAACTGTAAGAGAAAGTGGATCTCTCCAATCAATTCCACTGTCATAAATCTCCCGCATGAGGTGCTTGAGGCGTACGGTTGGACCTGCTATTCCTGATGGATTGTAAATTGAGTTTGACACATTCCGGACCGCGTGACACACATGGTGTGTCACACTTGTCTGCTCCCTGTGGCCGCGTGACACACATGGTGTGTCACGATCTTCAGAGGCTGAAATTTCCCTATGTTTTGACTGCTACACAAATTCTCTGAGGTGTTATATATCCTTGTAGGGGTACGATCCACGATTACGATAGATTATTTGCAAAATATTCTTTTAGAAGTGTGACCGATTCATAAGACCATCATTCTCTATAAATGCATCGCACATAAAACAATTAGCTGATAGACTGATCTACTGGGGCCACTCACTGTCCCGATCATGATTTTGGCACACTCTTATAGCGTCCGCTTCATTTGGCGCCACTGGGCGCCAGTTTGGCGCTGCGGCCTTTTGCACCATATCCAATTGAGGAAACATGCGTTTGAGGGATGATCAGGGATTCTGATCACAAAATTGAGATTCGTTCCTGAAGCTGGCGCTATTTGGCGCAGTCTGGCGTTTATGACATCTTTCACCGAAATCGATATAAATATGCATTTGGAGGTTAGCAGGGTCTCTGATTACAGTACCTTCAATGATGACTCCATGCCACAAGGCGCCAGTTTAGCGCTGTGACATTCTTCACCGAAACAATGTAAGCTTACGAACTAGGAATAAATGCATATATAATATTCGTGTTTCGCTCCGATGAAATCAGATGTGGATGTGTTCATACTTTGCGGCGGAGAATCTTGCTCTATGCAGCGAATTGTTGAAGTTGAAGCAGAAGTTTTGTTATTTTAGCACGTGTTTCACCAATGAAATCCTTTCACATTTCACATATCAATGAAAAAACCAAATGAAAACTGACGT